GGGACAGAAAAATGAATCAGTTGATTTTCAAGTGTGTGAAATTCTGTTTATTCACCAATCAAGTTTCGATGTATCTATTTTATCCTAAATTGATAGAAATTTTAAATATAAATTGACAAAATTCAGTATTATGCTAACGCATATATATATATATAATAAATAAAAATGAGAAATTTACTATTTTTTTTTTAAATTTTGCAAATTGTTAACATTGACATAAAATATATATTAATTAATTTCTTTGATATTTTGCATATAAACTTCTTTCATGTTCGGATCCATCCGATCACTTTTTTTTTCCATTTCTTTTTTTCATTTCGTAATGTATAAGTGTTGCCTGAAGGTATAAATAGAGAATAGTTGGGTTGTTCCCAATTTTGAAACAATTTAAATTTTCAAAAACTTGTTTTCTTTTCTTGTGAAATTCAACATGACGAAAACTATGGCAACAAGACCAAAGTTTAAACAATCCATTTTTTTTTTCCCCCGAAAATTGTCCATAATTTTGGTGTATCTATTTATCTGTATATATACATATATATTTGCTAGTGTTGTCATCATTACCATTGACGACAAACTATTTAATTGTCAACTAAACGGTATGCATCAACGACAATAGCTTTTTAGCTTTTATTTCATTTTTAATTTGACACTTTCTTGTTTCTTCGTCCATTTTCATTAGCATAAAAACATAAAAATAGTTGTGTCATTTAGGATGAATGAAAAAGTATGGGGAGAATATGGTACCATAACATAAATCTAATATAAACTATCAACAAAATTTAAATGTTTATTTCATGGAAGGCAAAATAAAAGTAGGATGAGAGGTCATTGTAGCAACCTTTTTAAGTTCTAGGGCGAAGAGTCATTGCAACAACCTTTTGAAGTTAAATAGAAGTTGAAAAAATTTTCTTAAATGTAAAATTTTATCGAGCAGAGAGCAGTTGTTCATCCCAGCTAATAATAGACCGAGAATTTACTCATTTCAAAGTTAATCTTTCGCAATCGTTTCAGTCCTTCATTATGATCTCATCCTTTCTATTGCTATTTTGAAATATTTAGATTAGATAACAAATACTATGAGGGACATTTCCTGTTACTTAATATTCAATTTAATTTTGAAACTATTTTTATTTAATGATTAAACATTATTCATTTTGTTCATTTTGCTTATAAGCATGCTATCGGCTTGTTAAATAATTTATTTGCCTTTTTTTTTCCTATTTTTAAAGACAAATGTTCAATTTCTTTTCTTAATACTATCTTGAATTATATTTTTAACCAGAAAAATGGATAATGAACTTTTTCATGTTTGTCTTTTTTATTATTAATAATAAAATTTGATGAGAATAACCTAAAGGTAAACATGGATTACATTAATTTACCTATAAAAGGGATAATTTATGAGGGATGTTTTCTTCAAAATTTTTCGTTTTCCCGATAATATGCAGTATAAATAATTTTACTTCATTTGTTTGAGGTAAATTACTTGAAACTCAATTATCTGAAATAGTAATAATAATAATAATGTTACTATTTAACTGGTTTGTTAATAAATAATAATAATAATAATAATAATAATAATAATAATAATAATAATAATAATAATAATAATAATAATAATAATAATAATAATAATAATAATAATAATAATAATAATAATAATAATAATAATAATAAT